GTACAAGATTGTATCCCTGAACGACGAATACGAAGCAGGAAGTGAGCACAACATGATCAAGGACAGATCCTCTTTATCATACATGACTTCTAATGTTTCCAGATCAACGACAATTTCCATGAACTCGGTTAGATGGTCCTCCAAAGAACCCTTCTACCATGTGATTGGAATAAAGCATCTGGTTCATATGCAACTTACTCGTCAATGTCTTCATCATACACAGTTGCTCCAGTTTTAACCACAACGCAGCAGCTGATTTCTCCTTAACGACGTCCTGGAGAATGTTGTTAGAATGATAAAGATGAATCATAGACAATGTTTTCCGATCCTTCCGTTAGTTCTCCTCTATTGTCCAAGTTGTTGGCATTTTATCAAAACTCAACAGAGCATCGTCCAAATCCATATGCGCCATAATTGCTTTCATCTTTACTTGCCACATGGAAATCTTGTATTGCGATCCAAAAGCGGAATGTCATACTTGAGGCAGCCATCGAAATTAGAAATCTCAAATAAATTCAGCAACCTGTAGCTCTGATACCACTTGTTGGGATCCTTTGAACCTATGTATTGTGAAAAATCGAAAGAGATTAATAGAGCAATATGAGGTATTGATTGCTTATCAAACAAGAACAAGATTTAAAGTAAAGAAAATAAAAAATTGGCAGATGAAGCGATATTTTATTAAACAATCAATGGAGAGAAAAAACAATTTCAGCAATTTTTGTTCACAAAAATGAATGAAGAGTCTACTATTTATAAGGAAAATGTCCAACCCAATATGGAAACAAAACAAAAACAAATCGGGTGAAATAAATGAAACAATATTTTCCCAATATTTTTTCAATAGAACACGTGAAATAAAGAAAATAATATTTTTTCAAATACGTAAACATTACCATGGTTGATCATGCACGTGTAACGATCTTTGCAAACTAGCTCGATTCACCGTACCTGTATACCCAATGAAGTATAAACTTCATGAAACGATCTTTGCAAAAAGAGCTCGAGTCACCAATACCTATATACACAATGAAGTGTAAACTTTTTTTCGAGTTTCGTGATCTATCCCCATGGAACACGTGAAACATTTGATTAATTATAAAACTTTACCTTGTCTAAGCAGCATAATTATGCCCTTTAATAAGGGTTTTATTCATCATCTATCCTAGACTGTCAAGTATTAACCAACCTTAAATTTTCATTAAATAACATTAATATTTCCTTGCTAAACTGCAAGTTCACTGGATATGCGGAAACTTGGAGAAGTCTTTCGCTTTTTCTCCTTGTTGAAGCACTAAAATGGTTTTGAATTTTGACTTTATTATAATTAAGCTTTGTCACTGACTAGTGTCTGGATACCAACATAAATGTTAGGAAATAAATGAACGAAAATATGGCAATGTGAAGATAAACAATTACAAACACAAAATTTATGTGGAAAACCACGGATAGAAGAGAAGAATTCAATATATGACTAAATATTACAATAATTTTGTGTTTTTAATTTGTTCTATATCACAATAAAGAGCCAATTATATAAAGTACACGTCAAACTCTAATTATAGTGTTTTACATGAAATGAGTCATAAAATTCATCAAATCGTGAAACGGGCATGGGCTGAATAACACTAGTGCTCGAACGCCTAGGCTTTCGGTCAGCGAGCAACAAGGCAGTGCTTAGGCACTAAAGGCATAGCGCTCAAGCACCTCATCCATGTTGATTTTTCCTTTGGCGCACGAGCTGCGCTAGTTAGCGGTGCCTAATTTTACTCCTTAGTCCATCTTTTAGATTTCTTTGAGGCCTCTTTAACCAAATCACCAATTCCCAATAGAATTTGGATCACATTTCAATAATAACAAGTATAACAAAACGTTAAAACGGTGTAAATAGCATTTTTGTAATAAAAACGCTATAGGTTACACGTGTTACAGAAAGTATAACGCCATATTAACACGTGTTATAAAAGTGTAACATAAGTGTTAGATAGTGAAAATAGTATTTCGTGATTAAAAAAATTGTAGTATTTGGAAAAAAAAAAAAAAAGGTTTATTTTTCGGTTGTAGTTTTATCAACTGCCCATAAAGACTGTTGTCTAGAAGACTTCTTGGACCACTACGAGTCCAATGTGACCGGGGCTCATGAATTGCCCATAAAGACTGTTGTCTAGATGACTTCCACGACCACTACGAGTCCAATGTGACCAGGGCTCATGTACTGCCCGGGATAACTATGTAGGCCGAATTAGGATCGAAGATTTCCAAATGGTGGCCCAGGTTCAAAATTGGAACACGTGAAGGCCAGCTTGAATTAAGAATGAAAGTGTCCAACCACCGTCGTAATATTCACGTGTCTAACCTTTAGTTATGTGGTTTATCTAAGAATTGACCAAATTATTGTCCTATTTTCCACTAATTTCCTCAGTTCAAGCTATTTCTATTATTTGAGTGGATTGGGTCGAATTTCGCCAATGTTCTTTGTGGATGTATAAAAAATAAAGTTAGGCCTGCAATCTTTGTTATAATTACAAAATTGATCTTCTACAAGTCTCCTATTGTACGATCGAGTAACATTAATTCACACGTTTAACTTTATGAATTTAAACTTTGCTCTCCAACTCGAGTTGATATCAAAAAAAGTTAAAACTAAAATATATTTCGATTTTTATTATTGAATACTGGTTGTAAGACAATAATGAAAAGGTGAGAATCATAAGATAATTTCCTCTTCAATTTATCATGAAGGAAACTCGTGGTAATCTTGAAGAGTTGCTCAATTGGTCAGACATTGGGTTTGCTCACAAGATCACCAGTTCGAGTCCCCTCATGACCACTAAGGTGAGTACCTGACTGTAAACCTCAGGGTTATGTGGGTTTAGTTGATGTGCGAACAAATTAGCTCGGACACCCACGATTATCAAAAAAAAAAATGAAGGAAGCTCGTGGTGAAATCATGTTAGAATTGATATTAATCTTATGCTTGTTGATAAAATTTATCTTTTTATTAGAGTGGATGAGATTTTGTTTTAGTATGAATGAAAAATCTATATTCTTTCCTGAGCCTCTGTTTGGTAGGAATTAAAATTTAAATTTTAATCTAAATTTAAAGTCAACAATCAATTTAACCCACATATTTCATGGGATGCAAAACCTTTTAACTACATATTTTATCGTTTTTTTATCAAAATATATTTAAAAATTTGATTTTAATCTCCACCAAACAGAGGCTAAAAATAAAA